GATAGATGGGGTTGGGACAGGGTCTTATTATATAGAGTAGTAGGCCTCTCTGATGAAGTGACTTTTGAGCAGATACCCTCCTTCTATATGATTATCCTGGATAAAGTGGGAGCTAGAGATTAGGAGGGAAATCCCACTTGGGAAAATCTCCCCCCCATCCCTACTTCTTTTATATTCTAGGGGTGGCTGATAGCTCAGCAAAGTTAGGGTTTTTCCAGGGGAATTTTGATAAGAAACTACAGGAAAAACAAAGAAAATGCAGAAATGTAGAAAGGTATTTAGAAAAGATTGCTCATCTTTTAGGCCCTTTCTTTTCTTCCAGACCTGCCTCAGTCTTTAACATATTGAGAGCACTTCAAAAAGTTTGTGGAAAAATAGAATTAAAAGATAATACCAATCTTTCCATGAATTTTTTTAAGTACCCTTTTGTTTTTCTACCCCTACTCACCATTCTACCTTTTCCATAGAGCTTTGCATCTTTATAGTTGACTGCTTCTTCAGCATCTAAACCTTTCTCTTTGCCTTATAATCTCAATATTTTTTCTCACCTTCTCTATCCTCCACATTGTCCTATCGATTTACAGACATGCTAGATAATAAATAATCCACATATATTTTATTTGAATCTCTCTATTTCCCTTTCTTGCATTTGGAAGAGAAAATTGGTGACATTTGCTTTTCTGTGTATTATTTCAGATGATGACACCAAAACTCTAAATGTGGAATCAACTTTGAGGCAAAAGACTTCTTCAGGCATAGAACAGCATTGCAATGTTTCCAACACCCTTCATACAAATGCCTCCCAGAGTTTCACATATAGAGCAACCTGTGAACAAGATGGCAGGTTTGAAAGAAGACAGGGAAACCCCTCTCGAAAAAAACAACACAAGTGTGATGAATGTGGCAAAATTTTTAGCCAGAGCTCAGCCCTTATTTTACATCAGAGAATCCACAGTGGAGAGAAACCTTATGCATGTGATGAGTGTGCAAAGGCTTTCAGCCGAAGTGCAATTTTGATTCAGCATCGAAGAACCCACACTGGGGAAAAACCCTACAAATGTCATGAATGTGGCAAAGCCTTTAGTCAGAGCTCGAATCTTGTAAGGCATAGGAAAAGACACACTAGAGAAAAAGTCCCATTAGTGTCATGAGGGAATCGAAACATTTACTCAGAACTTTTTCAGCACAAGAGAAGACACAAGGTACAAATACTCCCTTAGTATAAATCAGTGGTTTTAGTGGACACCAGTTTCCTTTCAAGGGTCATAAAAGCCACAGGAGAGAATGTGGAATATGTCATTTGCTTTTCTGTTTATCAGTACAGCGTCAGTTCAGATGTTTGAGATTCCAAAGTTTAATTCAGCTTTCCATCCCTAAGCAGCCCTTGAAAAGACATTCTCAGACATATTCTACTATTTCCATTATTAACACAGATAATGAACTAGTGTGTACTTTTTTATACAGTTATTTTTTTCCCCTGTTTAGAAGGAATGTGTGACTTACTTAGCATAGAAAAGATATTCTCCATTTCGTAGCTTGAGCACTAGAACTCTAAAGAACAGAGATTAAAGCCTGTTTTAACAAATTTCTCATTTGTGTTTTGTTACGAAGGAATGTGTGACTTACTTAGCATAGAAAAGATATTCTCCATTTCGTAGCTTGAGCACTAGTACTCTAAAGAACAGAGATTAAAGCCTGTTTTAACAAATTTCTCATTTGTGTTTTGTTACTAGATTCAAAATATGACAGTAGGATCGACCCAAAACAGTATATACCTCAAGACATAGGCTGAAGTGTCCCGGGTCATTGGTAGGAGGCAAACGAATAGAGGTTCCTAAAAGGACCTTATGAAAGATCACAAGAGCCTACACACTATTGATGATATTAAGGAATTTCCTCTGTTGGAAAAAATAATCTCTTTTACATTGTAATTTGGAAATAACTCAATGGAAACATTAAGATGACTTTGTACATGTCTTCAAGGTGTGGCCTAAACATAAGGAATGTTTTCATAATAAATGAGGTGCTATTCTGTGGGTGCTTATATAAGGTTGATGATCATCTTAATATAAAGAAAAAAAAAAGGAAAGTCAAACTAAAATAAAAAAAGGAAAGTCAAACTAAAATAAAAAAAGGGAGAAGAGCAATACCATCCAAACAAAACTGATGGAATACAAATGTTGGCAAGTGCAGTGCATAATGGTGTACCAGAGCTTACCTGGAAAAGGAAGCCCCTAACAGCTGATGACTATCATTCAGTATTCTTCGTGTCCTCTTTTCTGGCATAAATCAGCTGTGAATATGTTTCAGGCATCACAAAACAGCCTTTTCAGGGTCTTACGCATTTTAGTAAGATGAGTTTCTAGACGTGCTGTCACAAAATGAGACCCTGGATGATGATGTTGTACAAATGAAGAAATGACTAAAGTTCAATTTAAAGAGTGCACTATGTCCCTTGTTAACAATTGTTGAACCTCACCATTATAGTGGGATATCTTATTTGTCCTATCATCTTTAGGATATAGGTAGCTAGAAGTTTTACCCATGTTTAATCCAAACAGACTCCTTGTTTAAAACTAAAATGACTGACTTGTATGTTATTAGAATTATTCTGACAGTATACAACATAATGTTCTTTTTTCAGGGGATTCTTGATAAAACTCTTTGATAATGTTATAAGAATACACATTGTGTTTCCCATGGTGCTATAGTTACCCAATAGGGAGGCAAGTGTTAGAATGAAAGTCCTTGGAAGAAGAAGGGAAGAAGATGTTCATAGTCAACTTCTTTGGTTGGGTTCCTCATAAAGTATAAACATTTCATTCTTAGAAAATCCAACCATATCTAGTGCTTAGAATAACTCCAGAAACAAATGTGGAATTACTGTGCTCTGCTTAGTTAGTATACTGATAAATATAAGAATAGTAGGGGGAGAAGTGAATGCAAATTTTATTACAGAATTTTCTGATAGTGATTATGCTTTGTAGCTCTAGTGAATATGAATATATATTGGGTTTTGTATATTTTCAGTTATTAAAAATGTGGGAGTCACTTTATTTGGGGACCATTATCTTTGTAATTAGAGAGAGGAACAAGTAATCTATTATAGGAACAAGTGCCTCAGAGATATGCGTATTTTGAATTACTGCTTATTTATGGAAAAAATTTCTTAGGTTCTATGTGAATAAGATGGCAGAAACTAAATCAAGTATTTTGAGGGAAGCATCTGTCTTCACTTGCTGCTGCCATAATCTTTGTAAGATTGCATTCTCTTTATTGTGAATAATCTGAAATTTTCTACCAGACAGTGGTATGAATCATATCATCTAAGTACATGATGAATTTTTAAAGGATGTTGCTGTGTACTTTGAGTTATTTGGCACTCACATAGGTCTCCTAATGAGTAGGTGATACTCATTAGGAGACCTATGAGTATCACCTACTCATTATTAGGTTTAGATAAACCTAATGAGTAGATTTATCTAAAAGGGGCCCCTTACTGTAAGGGGCCCCTTACTGTAACTTCGGCTAACCTTGATAAAAATTAGCATGATATTAGGGCCCCCATTAGACTGATTAATTTCCAGGGATAGTAAATGCTCCAAAATGAGATTGGTATTGTTTTATGAATTTCACTTCATCTGGGCCATCAGAATCAACAATAATTCTATGTTCTCTCTTTACCTCTCTCCCATTCTCTTCAGAGACCAAGTCAGCTGTTCATCACTGTCCTTAAACCTTCCTATATCAGATTAGGATTGTCTCTGGGTGCAAAATCCATCCTTGGTGGCTTAAACAAACAAGTTTACAACCTGAAATATGGAGGGTGGTTGCTGCTGGGTCTCAATCAGCAGCTGGATGATGACCGATCTGGCTGATGTCTCTGTCCTTCTTTTAGCCTTTCCCTCATGCTAGTTTTCTCAGATTTTCAAGAGAGCTGTCCCAGCTCTGGGAACTACATGTGGAGTCAAGTCAGAAAGAAAGAGGAAAAGGGGCACTAGCCATGCCTGTCTCCTTTACTCGGAAAAGCAAAAGCTTTCCAATAAAACTCATCAAAATTCTGCTTATGTTTCCTTGTTGCAAGTGTGTCTGAAACAGCAAGCATTTTCAACCTCTAGAGGGAAAGCAGTAGGGCAAATGGAGACTGACTGAGAACATATTACTCCTTTGCCATCTTTCTCTTAATGGGCAGATGACTATGTTTTTGCCTCCTGCATTAAAGAAAAAGAGATGAAAACTCTTACAACCTCCTATTACCAAATTTTCCAGCTTACCTACGGGAAAATAGCTTATTGTATAGCTGGAGAGTTAAGATAATCGTGCAAAGTAACCTTGTGAGTCCTGTAGTTAAGAGCTGCAGGACCCACAAGGCCAGGATCCTTTAGAGAGGGTCTATAGCTATTCCTAGAACTAGGGTAGAGGCTAGTCACCGAGGAAGGGATACTGGCCTCCAGCCCAGA